ACATGCAAAATCCCTTATTCAAGAAGCCCAGTAGCGACCTTTGTGACAGAGGGTCAGCCCTTCAGCCAACAAAGCCAGCGGTCTGGAAGCAAATGCCAACTGCACTCCAGCCCGAGCCTACCGGAGCTCAGTACTCCAAACAGCCAACACCTCCCGCGCTTCAGTGAAGTCTCTGCAGCTTCTCCCAGCTGAAGCTATCAGGAAAGTTCCTGTCACGTGGCCTTCACAGAGGCAGACCCATGCAGACAGGGCACCTTCTCCCATCAACAGCTCAAAACCCTTCCTCCGCAGACGCCTGGATGAAGCACGGAGCCTCCCCAGCCAGCTACCAGGCGGAAGCAATCTACAGTTGGGAGTCCACTGCAGGGAACAGGTACAGCAAGGACAGAAACCACCGCCCAGGTCACACCTGGGACACCCCCCAACTCCCCCATCAGCTTTGGAGTGGGGACTGTAGATCAATGAAGGCACGCTCGCTGTACACGGGAGCGCCACACCTTCTACCAGAACGCGCCCTATCCCCAGAGACTTGGCAAAACCAGGTCCCCTTGGTGGGAAAAGATCAGAGGCACCATTCCAAGCCAAACTGTATCCAGCTTTATTAAAGATTCTTTTCATAAACAATCATGGTATTTCAGGCAGGACATGGGCAGACAATCGTGAACAGTATACAACTTTCAACTCCCTTCTTCAATGGACGACCAAAATCAGAAAGCCACTATAAAACCCAATGAAGTCTCCACGACGCTCTGGAAAGGGGAAGTTTAGAGTGAGGGCTGACATTTCACATTTAGCATGTTGTTTAACAACTTTTCACAAGCCGACCCTGACTTTCAGGAAATGAAATGAAATGGCAGAATGGTCAACCTGAAGATCCACAATCTAGAGAAGGAACCGCTGCTCTCTCCAGGCCCCATCGCAGGGGTCCCTGTGAAGTCCAGACTGCCCGTCGTGCTGGTACCGAATTGTCTGGGGTCAGGTCCCCACAGGTCTCTGGGTCTGAGGGAGTTAAGTCTATGCTGAAGGCAGACGGGGGGAGGAAGAGGGCATAAAATCAAATTTAGTTGTTCCACACCGCGGGGTGTGTGCCCTGGTGGCTGTGTCAAGGGCAGGGAATCCCTCCGGGGAGCCGAGAGGAGTCTCTCAGACCTACAGGGGACGGTGTTGCCCCCATCGATCCAGCTCCGGAGACCTTCTGTTAGTGACCTCTGCCCCTTCCCCCAAAACAACAATGAAGTGTTCTGTGTGCTAACAACATAGCTTAAAAAAAAAGTAAAACAAAATTCTGCATTTTTATAAAACTTGATAAAAAATAGTATTTCAAACTGTACAGTCACCAGAAGTACACAGTTATCAAAAACGCACACACTTCACTTGGCGTCTCCAGCACCTTCCGCTTTCTGTGCCTGCAAGACAAACAGAGTCACGTGGCACGCATTTACGAGGACCGTCTTCGTCCACAACCCACCTACAGCATCCAGGCGCTTCGACAAGCCCAGCACTCCCTGGGAGAGCAGCCTGCAGGCTGACTTTGCTAGTCACTGCCCCTGAGCCCTGCATCAGACGGGGGCCAGGCAACACCAGATCAGGTGGCCACCAGGCAGCACCTCGGGCGCAGTGCAGACACCTCACAAGTAAACTGGGACCCGCGGGGCGGGGTGGGCGTTCTGGGCGCCAGCGGCTGACCGCACACCTGACGCCCACCGTACCTGGTCTGCTTTGGCGTCTCCGTTCTCTGCAGGGTTATTCCCGTCCTTGCCAGCATCCGCTTTTCCCTTTTTCCCTTTGGGCACCTTCTCTCCCTTCTAAAAGGAAGGGAAAAACAGACCTGTTTCCTTCCGCTTCACCTTAGCAGGATACGGCCTGCAAAGCTCTGTGTAAGCAGTACTGTTTACTGGAAACAACAGGCAGAAGTCCTTCCCCATTTACGAGAGCAAAACTGATCCACACGAGGATAAGGCACGGGCCTTGGGGTCCAGGTCAAACCACCGCCTGCAATGCTGCTTTCGAGTCCCCGCTCCTTCGCTCCCCTCCAGCTCCCTGCTGACACACCGCGGACGCAGACGGCCCAGCACCTGGATCCCTACCAGCCACCGGGAGGCCAGGACAGAGTTCCTGGTTCCTGCTGCAGCCACTGGGGAGTGAACCAGCGGATGGAGGGAAGAGATCTATCTCTGTCGCTCTCTTTCCAATAAACAATTTTTAAAAGAAAAATCAGTGAATCCATCCTGAAACAGACAAACCTAGGCTAAACTTTCTAAAGTTTGCTGTGACCTTCAGCATACAAAATTGGTCTCCTAACCAAATGCACAATGTCCTGCACGCTGATGACAAAGCTACCACCGCTGGGGACCGGGGCAAGCAGGGAGTTCACGACACTCGTCCACGGAGTCAGCGCTGGGCTCACCCAAGGCAAAGGCCCCGTCCCGGGAAAACGACCCCCACATGAGCACTGCTGCCCCTCCCCCACTTACTTTTGCAGGGGCCTTTTTAGGCTTGGGTTCTGGCTTTGGAGGAGCTGGTTTCTTTTGTTTTTAAACAGGGAGAGAGGAAAAAGAACATTAACACACCGACCGAAGACAATAACCCAGACCCCAAGCGCAGCACCAGAGGTAACGCCCCCGCTCTCCAAGGTCTGCGTGGCCTCTGCAGAAACCACTCCAGCAACACCGAGCCGCCCTCCCCTCGCCACCGCCATCAGGATCGCTGAACCAATCAACTCCAAGCGGGCAAGCCACTCCGGCCCGGCGCACTTACAGCGGACAACCGTGCGGATCTTCTCTGTGGCTGCCGGAGAGAGAACAGGACAGGCGAGTCACCCCGGGGCACCTGCTCGCGGCCGTGTCAACCCAGACCCGGGCCGTTCCCACGAAAGGGGTCCTGGGCCTTTAGCCCCCACCCCAGGGAGAGCTCAGGACACCGCCTCAGAGAACAGAACTTACTTCGTCCTTCACCTTGGCCTTATCTCCTTTAGCATCCCCTTCGGCCTACGAAACAACAAGGAAAAAAAGACACAGGCGCTTCCGAGGGGCTGCTGAGGACCCTGGCAAGCCGCGGTGCCCAAGAGCGCCAGCCCAGCCAGCCGTGCCCAGCTCCCGGCGGCCGCCGGGCCAGGAAGCAGCAACAGCTGCCGCCGGCGCTGGCCAACCCTCCGGAGGCGGGGCCCGGCGCCGTTGCCATGGCAGCCGTCGAAGGCGGGAGAGCCGGGCGGCGCGCGCGCGGCCGCGGGGACTCGTGGGCGGCGGCGGCGCGCGCACCGCGCGGGAGGGGGGCCGTGGGCGGGCGGAGGCGGGGCCCCGCGCGCAGGCCCCGCCCCCTCGCGGCGGCAGTTTTTTGGCGGCAGCGCGTTCCCCCGCCCGCCAACCCTGAGCGCCGCCTTCCCGCCCTTTCGGGTTTGAATTGCCCGCCCGCGGGGAGGGGAGGGGAGGGGGCCTGGCGATGGGGGGAGGGGGCACGGGGCGGGCGCGACGAGCCCGAGGGGAGCGGGATAAACAGCCGCCAACATGGCTCCTCCCGCCGCGGCCGCCGCTCCTCCAATATGGCCTCTGGCGCCCGCGGGCAGCCGCGCCGCGCGGGGTGAGCCCGCGGCCGCCCACGGCGCCCCGAGCCCCCGCGCCGGTCGGCAGCGCCTGTTCCGGCCGGCGCCGACTCTCGCGCCCGAGCCGGGGAGGCGGCGGCGGCGGCGGCGGCGGCGGTGGCGGCGGCCCAGCGCCTGGGGCCCTCGCGCCACGTACCTTTCTCTTGGGCATGGTGGCGGCGGCGGCGGCGGGACGTAGGCGCTGGGCGCGGGGATGCAGCGGCGCGCGGGCTTTGGTCGGTCCAGGGGTCGTCCTCGCCTCTTCTTCTTCACACTGCTCGGGCTCCGGGGGGTTTATAAAGTTTTTATAGCGCTGGGAGCCCCGGACCGGTTAGAACCGGATTTCACCTCCCGCCGCCGCTCATTGGCCCAGCTGGGGTCACGTGGGCGGGGTTTAAACTCACCTCCTCTGGAGGGAGTGAGGAGGGGGGCTGGGGGGAGGGCGCGCGAGACGGCGGCGCGCCCAGGGGTGGGGGCGCAGTGGGGGCGGCGCGCGTCGAGGGCACTCGGCGAGGAGGGGCGCGCGGGGGGTTGGCTCCCGCCAAGAGCTGGCTTGTGCAAGCCACCAAGTTCCTTCCACCTTATGCAACCGAGCCACCCACTTCTCGGAGCCGTGCGACACTCGGGGCGCATCTCCGCGGCTCTCCTTCCTGCTCCCGCTGGGGGCCCCGGGAGAGGGCTCGGGCCCGCTCCGCTGGAAGCCGCAGGAAGCGCGCCGCCCGAGGCGCGGGCTGCAGTTGCCAGGGCCAAGGCTGCCGCTGAAGTGGGAGTAGAGCGGGGCAGCCCGCCTGGCGCAGCCGGACGCGCGTGCTCCCGCGCTGCCACTCCGGAGAGCCCTCCGTGCCCTCACCTGGGAGGCGGTCCGCTCGGGGTCGGGTGGGGATCGCAGGGGAGCCTTTTCGCTCAGAGGTGCCTTCCGGGTGCTGTGGGGCAGGTAGGAGCTGTCCTTTCAGCACCCGTTGCTCAGCCGCCTCCCCAAACGCTGAGGCGGCCCCCCATGGCTGATGGGGGGGGCTCCTTTAGGGCCCTGTAATTACTGAACCCCAGGACCCCGCCACAGAATGACGGACAGCGCCTGCCACGGCCTACCAGAGTCCCCTCCCCCTAAGCTCTACCCAGCTTGGAGACATGGAGCCCAGCTGCCCCCACCCGACGAGGCGGCCACCAAGCCTGGGCGCTGCAGACGCAGCTGGCGAAATCCCTCCTACTGTCAAGCTGGCTTCCTTTCATTTGGGTGACGGAAAGGAGGGTGGAGACAAGCGCCCGGGGATTAGGGGACAAGTAGAGGAACAGGTGTTGTGATGGCAAAAGGGCACTTCCAGGGCCTGCCTCCCCTGCCGGAGCGGGAAGCCTTGGTCTTGAGCTAGCCAAACGCACGTGGAGGGCGGCCAGGCGATTGCAGCAGCAAAACAAGTCTTACATCTAAGAATCTTAAAAATTCTATTATGAGACCCAGGAGAACAACAGGATAAAAGTCCTCAAAGTGGGGGTTGGCTTACAGGTGGAAGGACACTTAAATTGGTCCCACCTGGTTTGCACAAATCCTACCAACAGAAAGCAACCGTTAAGTTCAAATCAAGTATTTTGCAGATGCTGCCACCGGACAGCAATGGCCTCAATGCCTCTCCTTCCCACTCCCAGTGTCTCCTGGGGCAGCTGCTCCCTGCTCCACCCTGCGTACCTTTCCCAGAACACAGGACCTCAGGCCAGAAATACCAGTTCCATTAATCATCTCCACCGTCCCCCAATCATATTAGGGAAAGCCAGCCACACTCACAGGGTAGATTCCGTGTGCTGCCTCCAGCCCCTCATTCCCGCCTTAATTGTAGGGCTCTGTATTATAGCCACATAATTCATGCCTCCCTAATTAAGGCTGTCAACAGCCCCATTGTAAGACTGGAAAATGTACAGCACCTGCTCTCCGGGAACATGGTGCCAGGGATTGGTAGTGGGGAGTGCCAGGTGTGTAGGGGGCTTGCCAAAGGATGAGTTGATTGGCTTTTCAATCGCAGTGTCTGGCATTTATGCTTGTTTCAGGAAGCAGGGACAGTGGCCAAGGGGCCTGTGGCACCAGGTATCTAGGCACAGAAAGGCAAGGATGGGTTCGGGTCTCAGAAGTTTGGGGGCTCGGCAGTCTACTCTGCTTACAAGATCCCACCTCCCTTCTGGAGGGAGGCACTAGGGAAACAGATTGCAGAAAGGAAAGCGGGGACACCGAGGGGCAGCCCCGGGCAGGAACCGCCGGAGCAGTCGCTCAGACAGCTCTTCAAAGGCTCTAATCCTCTCAGCGGCGACGCCTGGCAGGGGAGGTGAGGGAAAGGACACAGCCTTCCTTGACTCTGCCCTCTTCCTCCTGCTGGGCAGCCTTGGCCTTCACCAGCAGAGAGCGCCTGGAACAGCCTCGCCATGCTGAGAAGTCAATCGTCTCAGGGCCTTCTTGGGGAGCCAGGTCAGAAGCCGAGAAACCTCAATGACTGAACCAGGAGGACAGGAACTGTGCCTGGTTCTGTTCAGTCCTGATGTGTTACCAGGAAGTAGGCCGGTGCTGCATTCGATTCACCAGGGCCTACAGGCCCTTCTGTTACCCTGTAGCCATGGAGGGAGCCGGTCCCACTGGGAGTGGAGCCTGGCCCCGTGCCCTGCGAGAGGAGGAGAAAAGCTTGTGTGGGCTGAGTCGACAATAGGTAATTGGATTGTAATCACCCGGCTGGCTTCCGCGCGCCATTGGGGGCGCTGAGCCTTTCAGTGAGCAATCAGTACTGCGTGGTGGGAGGGGGTAGAGATTCAATAGCAAATCCCAGGTGGAGAGCCAAGGGGAGGAGCAGCAGATGGGCACATTTTCTTTCAGTCGCTCCTGCCCCTTTTTTCCCTGCCCAAATAATGCTGGCTGCCTCTTAGCTATTTACCAGCCGACCCAAGGTAGAGCCAAATCTTCCGTGCAAGTCAGGGGGAAGGCGGAGATGGATGGGTGAAGGGCTATGGTTCGGGCAGGGAGGGGGTGCCCTCTTCCCTGCAATTGTTTGCTGAAGGATGTGCTGTTGCAAGAAAAGTCCGTCCAGGAGCACAGAGAGAGTGGTGGCAGAGGCGGAAGGGGCAGGCAGCCAATGCACTGTGGCGCCCTGCTCGCCAGACCTGTAGGTGAGCACAGCTGGGTTTACTGGCCTTGGGGGAAGACTCCTCTTCAACCCTTCCCAGGGGCCACTGTCACAGGCAGTCCAAAGATATCTACAGCCCGCAGCCCTGGCCTCGGGGGCTCCCCTGCCAAGCAAAGGGAAGACAATTCTTCCTCAAGAGGGAGGTGCCTTTCACCAAAAAATGAAAGGGGAGTGGGGCCCTGGAGGCAGAGGGCAGGACAAAGTGGCAGGCAGCCAGCCTCACTCAGGCTGATGCGGTGCCCAGACGTGCCAGCCAGTCAGCCCGCTTGAGCTCCAAGGCCTGCAGGAAGCCTTGGACCCGCTCTTCCCGTCTGGCTGAGAGTCTGTGCAAGCGAGTCCGTCGGAGCTGGGTGTCCCCACTGGCCTGGAGCCCCTCTCGCAGCAGCTGCTCTGTCACTGCAGCCTGGTCCCTCTCCAGCTGGTGCCTCTTCCGCTCCTCTGCATACATGTCTCGGGCCTTCTGCTGGAGAAAAGGGGGACCGGGGTGGGGAGATCACTTTTAGGCATGGGTGGAACTGGGAAGGAGGAGGGAGGGGTGGGGCACAGGGCAGGCCAAGTAGGGTGGAACAGTGAAGAGCTTGTACCAGATCTGGAACGCTAGGGAGTAGGTGTGCAGTGGGTGGTGCCCTTGTTGGACAGGCACGACAGTGGCTGTTTTGGGTCCATCTTTGTTTTGTGTGGAAGCATCTCTATTCCTTACAGTTCTTCTCAGGCAAATGTGGGTCTGACTTCTGATTCCCCCACCAACTAGCTTTGTGGCTTTGGCCAAATCCTCTCCTAACCTCATTTCTTCATCTGTAAAGTGGGGGTTGTGCCTACCTTGAAGAGTGGTTTTAAGGATTAGAGATAATATATGCAAAATCCTCTCTAGCATATTAGCAGGCTCTCAGACAGAAACAGCAATTTGGCATGTTATTATTGTCTACTGTCTGCGGCAAGGAAGGTCCTGTTCCTGTCTGGGGCACTATTGCTCACTTCCTTTGGTCTCCCATGTTCCCCACTCCCTACACTGCTGTCCAGGCTGTGGGTCTACATTTACCTCCTGTATGGAGACCAGCCACAAGCATACAGCCCTCCCAGGAACATTCTGAGAAGCATGTTCCATTCTGTTAAGCCACTGACTACACTGTGCCCAACAGACTAGGTGCTAGTGTCCACCGTCCCCTCTCTTAGAAAATAAGCCTGGAAGGTGTGATAGAGCCTCAGGGCCCGGAAACCAGTGCTGACCTCAGGTAGTGATCACAGGCCCCGCAGCACTTCTCAGTCCTTGTGTTTCTCCAGACAAAAACAGGGCAGGGACTGTGCTCCTCCTCCAGGGCACTAGGGGCACCCTGTACATGTGAAACACTCAATCCATTGACCATATGAGCCCAGGAGGGCAGGGATGACACTCCTGGCACAGGAGAGGGGAAAATCTCTTTGGAGCAGAACCAAGGCCTTGCTAATGCTCTTTTTCTGCCAGTCTAACTGGCCACCAATCTCCTCCTGCCAAACCTATTCTGTGTGTGAGAAACCATTTTCCTACAGGGTGCCTGGAGGTACCCTATACTCAAATGGCCCTTACCACTCCCTACCTTCTATCACGGTACCCTGTGTATGTGTCTTTGTCCTAATGAGCCTGTGGGCATTTTGGCTGCTCTGTCTTCTTTCTAGACTCTCTCCTAGGCATAGTACTTCATCTGCTGTCTCACTTGACCATGAGCCATGAGGGAGGTACTTTCTGTGTGTTGGAGACTGACATGGAGGCTCAGAGAAGTGGTTTGCTGAGGTCTCTAGGCAATGACGGTTCACCATATGAATGCAAAAAAATCCCCACTGCAGGCTCTTGAATGGTCTCAGGTATTCAAGGATACTTCTTGTTAACATTACAATGATCCCATGTGGAGCTTTGACTACCACAGGCTTGGGCAATTGCTGCAGAAGCTTCCATGTGCTGGAAGGGCTTCTTCCTGTCCTTGATCATGGGGGACCCTGGGTCCCATCCACAGCAACCCAGGTGCTTACAGGCTGGTTAGGACACAGCCAGGTCCATGAAGTATCGTGGTACGAGGTAGAATGTGGGAATGGAGGCAAGAGGAAGGGCCATGCACGTTCAGAGGAAACAGCAATTATGGCTAGCGGAGGTCAAGGAGTGAAACATCATGGACAGGCAGAATTTGAGCTGACCTTTCACCAATGGGGAGGAATCAGACAGAGGTGAGGTGTACAGAGTACTTTAGCAGTGAGAGTTAACAGGGAAAGGCACAAAACAGAAGACCCTGCTCAGGTCAGAGTAAGTCTACCTGGCACACTGAGGTTTGAAAAGTTTCTGTCCTAAAGACAGCCTCACCTCTCTGAGGCTATTCTAGATCTGCAAAATGGGGCCAGCATCCCACACTGGAGTGCCACTCTGCGTCCCAGCTCCTGTGTGTCTGATCCAGCTCCCTGCTGATGTGCCTGGGGAGCGGTATTTGGGGCTCTGCTACCCATGTGGGAGAACAAGCTAGAGTTCCTGGTTCCTGGCTTTGGCCTGGCCTAGACCTGGCTGTTTCTGCCATTTGAGGAGTGAACCAGTGGATGGAAGATTGATATCTCTCTCTCTCTCTCTCTCTCTCTCTCCCTGTTGCTTTGCCTTCCAAATAAATAAATACATCTTTAGTCTGCAAAAAGGGGTAACAGTTTCCACCCCTGTCTTGTCTAAGAAAAATGAGATGATGAATGCCCAGCCTAGGACCTGGGCATTAACTGTTGCTGTTCTACCACCACCATGTGTGGCCAGGGCTAAATTCTGGACAGAAAGGATGAGTCACCTAGCCACTGACGGAGGAAATGCAGAGCTGGTTAAAGGCTCCTTGTGATTCTGAGGCTTCTTCCAAATGGTGACCTCTGATGAAAGGCCAGCAATGGAGGCTGTGGCCAAGGCAGAGCCTGGCCCAGCAGGGAATCTGTCACTGTTAGGACAGGAGAGCCGGGAGAGCTCCGTAAGCCCATGAGCTCCAACCTCCCCGTCTTGCAGTCAAGGACACAGGCCACGATGGGAAGGGACTTGTCCGAGCTGCCACAACTGGCTGAAGTTTCCTTGGTTTCTTCAGGAGGTGACTTCTTAGGAGGACGACTGTTCTCCAGGGATGACCTGCATCTAGACTCCTATCCAGCTGCCACGTAGTCAGGGTCTACCCTCCCAATCTCAGAGATGCTCTAAGTTCTCATGTAGTCAGCCTTGGAAAATTCAAAGCTACAGAAGTGCTAAGAGTTCAACTTGGCCGTTCCTGGTCATTTATCTACTCTCCCTGTGGGACGGACAGTTGGGAAAAGGAGGGCATTATTTCCTTCCTCAGTGACGTTTGGTACTTAGGCAGTCTTGGCGCAAGGGCTCCAAGAACCTCACTTTGAGAAACGTCACCGTAATCCTCCTGGGCCTTACAGCTCTCCGCGCTGGTCCTCTCCACGGAAGAAGCAGGGCATGTATGTTCCAGGCCTCCGGCACTTAAATCCTCAGGTCCTCCACCACCTCACTGGGGCCTGGGCAGAGGCTGAGGGTGCTGGGCTTCAGAACACCTGTTCACCAATGGAAAGTCCTCCCCAAAGCCACAACCAGCACGCCCAGGTCAGTAGCACAAAGACAGAGAGTGCCTTCTGCAGGAAATGTGATGTTCTGAAGGCCCTGGGGCTTCCCTGCCCAGGGCATTGTACTGGGCACAGGATGACCATGGTACTGCTTGTGTATGGCTCTCCTGTAGGCGGGTGAGGTCAGATGAAGGCCCAAACACACACACGGAACACTTTTAACCACCATTCTCTGACAATGGCCTTTGTTCCAGGCACAATACTCAGCACTTTGATGTGTTAGCTTACTGAATCCTTCTCACAAACCTCTAAGGTAGGTACTCTTATCAATTTTAAAATTCTTTTCTTTTATAGATGAGGAAAATGAAGGGCTAAGTAGCCATGAGTCAGTCACATAGCTTAGCAGGCAGCACCATGATTCCAAGTCAGGAATGCAACTCCAGGTTTTAACTTCTCCGGAGGGGAAGAAGGGACCTGAAGAGCACTAGAACGACAGTGGCTGACCCAGTCTGGTTTCTGCCGTGACAAAGTTCCCCTCTGCGACGTCACCCTGGGAGCTTAGGTGCACCGGCACGTCCTATTCATCTCCATCAGTGAGGCCCCAAGAACCCACCCATGCAACCTGTCACCGAGGATCACTCTGCACTGCTGCCCCCTTTCCCTGGCCTGATTCCCTAGCTGCCCTTCCTCCCTGCTACCTTCTGTGCCAGAGGCAAGGTGGCCACCTGGGGACTGTTGTGGCCCCTTCAGATACCAAGGTCTAGGCCCTAACACCTGGCAGCTGAGCCCCAGCTACACTCAGCATCCACCAGCAGTCTTCTCCCAGGCAGCTCTAGGTCAGAGACTGCTTCCTGCTCTCTGCCTTGTTCTTCCGGACAAAAGGTACACACAGGGCTGACAGGCAGCTCAGACAGGCAGCTCAGAGTTTGACGACAGGAACTTGGTGATGGGAGAAGAGCAGATATGTGGAGGTAGGAAAGGAAGGGTATGGGAACAAAGGAACTGTGGAAAGGCCACTGTGGGCACACGGTACACGACAGGAATGTGGGAAAAGATATTTCTAGTCTGAGGCCAGCCCGGTGAGCATGCTGTTAGTCTGCACTGACCCTCAGCGCTTCTCTAAGGTGCTAAGAGTTTTAGAAACAGAGCTTTGAGGGATCCTGGGTAGGTAAAGCCAGGCTGGGCCTCTTAAGGGGCACTGCTGGAGAAGGCTTCAAGACAGTCAGTGTCTCTGTTAAAACTTGCTCTAGGCCGGCGCTGCGGCTCACTAGGCTAATCCTCCGCCTTGCGGCGTACCGGCTGCGGCGGCCATTGGAGGGTGAACCAACGGCAAAGGAAGACCTTTCTCTCTGTGTCTCTCTCTCACTATCCACTCTGCCTGTCAAAAAAACACACACAAAAAAAAAACAAAACAAAACAAAAAAACTTGCTCTAAAAACTGGAGCAACAATAGTAATTTATCTATTTTATAGCACTTTACAGAATCTATGTAAGGGACACCACACCTGACATGGTCAGAACTCAATAATGTCTGCAGTTATGATCAGAGTACAACATGGAACTCACATATTCCACTCTGACCTTGCCAGGCCACAGCCTACATGTCTTGGCTCCTAATAACATCAGTATTCAGAGCTATTTGTTCTACATTACAAGAAACATAGGAAAGTTTCAAAATCACATTACCAACTTTACCATTAACAATAAACCTCTTAAGTAATGGTGATGTCTGCTTTCCAGTTTGTGTTACCTTAGAACAGATTCCACCAAGCATGTCAGAGAACCGTGTTCAGGTAACCAGAATGAATCCCGTCTGTGGAGGGCTGTCACCTTGCCGGAGTTTCACCATCAGCCCTCCCTCACCATCACCTCCCCTTCTGCACTTCACCCCCACCTCGAGGCCCATCCCCTCTATCTCTGGCTACTGCAGGAGTTTGGTCTCTTGCTCCCTGAGAATCCCGAGTGAATTTTACAGAATGCTAATGAGACCCTGTCATTTCTTAATTCAAATCCTTCCATTCCATTACCATGGCCTATGACGTCCTGTAGGGCTGGGCCTGACTCCTCTTTCAGCCTCATCGCATGCCCCCTCACTTAGGCACACGGCCCTCTTACTCCATTCTTCCAAGACCCAAACTTGACAGCCCAACATCCTTGCACTCACTTCACTGCTTCCTAGCACATTCACTGCCTGACCACAATCAAAAAGGACCTTACCTACTTGAATACCGGTTCACTGTCTGTCTCCTCAACCGAGAACACAAGCTCCAGGAAGGTACACATCTTGTCTGGCCGGCTAACACCTGTCTCTCCTGTGCCTAATACAGTACCTCACTCATTCCAGGTACTCAAAGAGTATTTATTGGATGAATGAAATTTGAGGTAACTCCTCCAACAACCATGTGCAAAGCATCTGAGAAACCTGAAACTACAATAAAAGGCAACTGAACAACCAAATTAGAGATAAGAATATCCACACATGGGAGCACAGCCACCAAGCTCCTGGAGCTTCTTACACAGTCCATTTACTCTCTTTGTACACATAGTTCTTTTTCTTTTTTTAAATTTTTTCTTCATTTATTTGAGTGATGCTGGGATGCACAAACTCAACCTAGGTCTCCCACAAGAGTGGCAGGGAACCAACCACTTGAGACATCATTGCTGCCTCCCAGGGTCAGCACTGTCTAGAAGCAGGAGACGGAGCCAGGAGTTGAACCTAGGCACTCCAATGTGGGATACAGGCATTGCAACCTGTGCCCTAACTGCCAGGCCAAATCCCCATCCCTCTAAACATAATTCTAACATGCTTAATTAGCTGCTTCCTTACCTACAATCGAGTTTATGGTATTATTACTATTTTGCTATTTTATTTACATAAAATAGTAAGAAAAAAAGGAGGGAGACACAGTCAAAATTAGCCACTGACAGCAGTAGCAAGTGAGAGGAGAACACAGAAAAAAATATAAGAAATCTGAAAGCCACGTATCTTGATACAGCCCCACCTTTAAGGACATCACTGTTTACAAGTGCTTATAGTTACCATTATCATTATCATTAGAATGTGATTATTCTAATCATTACCACATTAGCAAGTATCTGCTATATAGCAGGTATCGATGAACTATGTGTAAGGAACATTTCAGAAAGTTTTCCATCAAAAAAGGGTAAGGACAGCTCTAGTTCTCAGAAGGAACTTGGGTCTTGTGAAAAAATATGCTATTCATTCCTCATTCAGTCATTCAGATAACTGAATCTTACTGTTTTTCTTTCAACTTGTAAACTTCCCCTTTCAATTTCCTCATATTCTGAGACTAAATGATCAAGCCTTCACACTTCGACTGATACCAGGAGTTCTGGACTTGATGTCCATGGACAGATTTCTCAGGTTACATGAACCACCCTGAAGGTAATCTCTGTGTCTTAGTGGTCTGCCATTTTCCATGGATGATGGTCCAAGGCTTTTATTAGCTTCTCCAAAGGGGCCCTGACACCAAGGAGACTGACAAGCCCTGACTTACATCAGCTCTCCTGGGCGTCTGCACAGCAGGCTTAACTGTGCCAGCTGTAAGATCCCAGTTCCTAGTTCTGTGCCTTGAGACAGTTTTAGGCTCTTTGCACCTCTGTTTCCATATCTAAAAATGAGGATACCCAAACCTACTCGATATCAAGAGTTACATAAGAAAGCTTACATGAAATCAACTAAAGTGCCATGGTGGCCCCTCAGTGTTACCCCCACCCCACCTGCCACCCCCGTTATTAGTAAGACGCCTTCTAGTAAAACTCTGTCCTCAAGATTTGGTGACCAAGCGTCAAAGCAGAAGAGCAGCATTTTGGCTTGGTGGTTAGGATGCCAGTGTTCTACAGCAGAGTGCCTGCGGTGGATTCCTGGCTCTGGCTCCAGCTTCCTGTTGGTGCATATCCTGGCAGGAAGTAGTGATGGCTCAATTACTGGGGTTCCTGCTATCCATGTGGGAAACATGGATGGTACTCTCAGCTCCTAGTTTTGGTCACATACATTTTTGAGGAGTGAACCAACAGATAGCTCTGTCTCTCAAATAAACAAATTAGGAAAAAAAGGTAAAAGGAGAACTTCAAGCCTTGGCACACATAACTTCATACAATGGAAAGACAATGCTATTTTTGTTTTTTAATCTCTTTTGGAAGTGGTTTGGCTTTTTGCAAAATAAATAAATAATTTTTTAAATGTTCATCTACTTGAGAGAGAAGGAGTGATCTTCTAACTGCTGTTTCACTCCCTAAAATGTCTGCAACAGCCAGAGTTGGGCCAGGCCAAAGCCAGGAGCCTGGAACTCCATCCCAGGTGGCAGGGATCCAAGCACTTGAGTCATTATCCACTGCCTCCCAGAATGAGCATCGGTAGGAAGCTGGATCAGAAGCAGAGTAGCTGGGACGCGGACTGGCACTCTGATATGTGATGCAGGTGTCCCAAGTGGCAACTTAACCTGCTGTGCCATAACACCTATGGCTCTTGTATACTTTGGCTTGCCTTTTGTATACTCCCAATACTGCAATCTTTTATTAGGCTAATGTCTTCAGGGAATAATAGCCAGTCTCTCTGAGAAACCTTTTCTTGGGTCTTTAAGAGATTAAAGACTTGCAGCTTGAACCCCACTCCCACCTCTTACTGATTATATACCCTTGGCTCAATCATCTCTCTTTTAGTTGGTCATTTGTGTAAGGGCAGGGACCACTAACACTTACCTCCCTGGGTTCTTAGAAGCACTGAATGAGGTATTGCATGTAGAGTGTTTGCAATGTGACACACAGCAAGCATGCAGTGATTGGCAGCTGTTATTATCATCATCAACGTGCTTATTAGGAAGTGACTGCTATACATTAAGTTGGTCAATCAATGCTCATCTTTCCTCCCATCCCGTTCAGCCAGGCCAGTCCTGAACTCTTACCTGAAGCATGCTATGGTTCATTTGGAACTGTAGGATGGCCTCACAGAGGTTCCAAAATGTGTATTCTGGCCACAAAACAGGCTGGAACACCAGGCAGGAGTGGGAGGTCTGGGGAAGACAAAGGAGGGAGTATTGTTCAGTGACATGTTGCTGGGCACACCACCCTGCCCAGTCCTCCACGGAAGGGACAGGCTGAGCAGAGCCCAGAAGCCCGGAGGTCAGCCAGCACAGGCACCCCGAGCTGCAGCTGCTGCCGGGCCAGGCCTGATTCTCTCATGAATGGTGGAGAACTTATCTGAGGCAGTTAAATCACTTGCCTGCGGGAAAGCAGAACTAAAATGAGGCTAGATCAACATTTCCAATATGACAGCCAATTTCAGGACTATGGAGTAACATCTGGATTATGTTATTGGCTCGTGGCCCCTGGGGTCACCTGGGAGATGGAATGTTTGATAAAAGTCAGCCATGAACCAATGGCAGCTGCCACTGTGATTTTTAAGTAGCGATAGTACAGCACAGTGGTTAAGGGCATGAGTGCTTGAGCCAGACTGCCTGCATTTAAATGGCTTCACCATTTACTATCTATTTGAGTAGAGGTAAATTATTTAACCTGTCTAGGCTTCTGCTTCCTCAAGTGTGAAACTAGGTAATAAGAATACTTATATGAGATAATGCAGGGTGACGCTTCGTAACAGTCACTGATAGAAGAATCCCTTTCGGAACATTCCTGGCATATGCTTTGTGGGGATGAAGAATTCAATGCTTCACAGGGGATACCGTAGGTTGTCAGTTTATTTTGCCAAATCAACATCACAGCTTCTAACAAGATCCCAGGCATTTTCTCTGAAACAAATTTGGTTCTTCAAAGTGACGATCATTCCAGTATTTGAAGACTAGATTAGACTGCCTGTTATCTGTCCCCTAGGTTATGATGACTTGTTCAGGGTTTGTCTTTCCAGCATCCTCTACGTTTCAGGACAGTAGGGATCATCTTAACTTTGCTCCCGCCATATTTCTGGCACAAAGGAGGAACTCGAGTTCTTTTCTCCTGAGGTGCTACCTTTCAGGGGCACTATCCTTTGGCCATTCCTTGCTATCTAGGATGGCATCTCCGGTTAAGTCGTCCAGTTTACCAACGTGGCCTTTTAAAACTTGGTGCTAGGCCGGCGCCGCAGCTCACTAGGCTAATCCTCCACCTTGTGGTGCCGGCACACCGGGTTCTAGTCCCAGTCGGGGCGCTGGATTCTGTGTCGGTTGCCCATCTTCCAGGCCAGCTCTCTGCTGTGGCCAAGGAGTGCAGTGGAGGATGGCCCAGGTGCTTGGGCCCTGCACCCCATGGGAGACCAGGAGAAGTACCTGGCTCCTGCCTTCGGATCAGCGCGGTGCGCCAGCTGCAGCACGCCGGCTGCGGCAGCCATTGGAGGGTGAACCAACAGCAAAGGAAGACCTTTCTCTCTGTCTCTCTCTCTCACTGTCCACTCTGCCTGTCAAAAAAAAAAAATTTAACCTATAAAAAAAAAAAAAAAAAAAACTTGGTGCTAAGAAATAAACTTTCCAGACGTGATCTGAGCAGCAGAGTGGCCCACAGAGCTGTTAGGGGCACACCACACTTTCTTCAATGCAGTCACAGACTCAAAGTATCTTCAGCAGCTAATTCTTGGGTCACTTTTAAGACTGTGGTCCATTAAAATTTCTGGAGCTCAGTTTTGTCAGCTCTTTCAAGCTAATTCTCTCCCTCCAACCTCTCCTTGAACAAGGATTTCCCTGGGAGGCCAATTTAACAGAGATGGACATTTTCAAGCAAAAATAAACTGAATCAGATATGAACTTTTGGGGAACCACTTATGCTGGGGAAAATGAGAAGAGTGTGCACACAGTCTGTATCTGATGGACCGTGCTTACATAGACATGGACCTTTCATCTGAAGAGGAGAGACTGCGAGACCAGGTTCTTGCTTGGAGACGCTAGGGTATCTGGAAGGTTCTCGTGGCAGGAGATTTGTTCTTTGAACATGAGCACAAGTTTTCATGACACAAGACGGTTGGATAGCCCTAATTTTCTTTTTTTTAATTTTTATTATTTATTTATTTATTTTTTTGACAGGCAGAGTGGACAGTGAGAGAGAGAGACAGAGAGAAAGGTCTTCCTTTGCCGTTGGTTCTCCCTCCAATGGCGGCCGCGGCTAGCGTGCTGCAGCCGGCATACCTGTCTTGCACGTTAGAGAACAAGAATCACACAGGGCCGGTGCCGCGGCTCACTAGGCTAATCCTCTGCCTGCAGCGACGGCACCCCCGGTTCTAGTCCCGGTTGGGGCACTGGATTCTGTCCCAGTTGCTCCTCTTCCAGTCCAGCTCTCTGCTGTGGCCCGGGAGTGCAGTGGAGGATGGCCCAGGTCCTTGGGCCCTGCACCCACATGGGAGACCAGGAGGAAGCACCTGGCTCCTGCCTTTGGATCAGCGCAGAGCGTCAGCAGCAGCAGGCCGCAGCAGCCACTTGGGGAGTGACCCAACGGAAGGAAGACCTTTCTCTCTGTCTCTCTCTCACTGCCTAACTCTGCCTGTCACAAAAAAAAAAAAAAAAAAAAAAAAAAAAACAAACAGGTTTGCAAATCCAGAGACAGATGACGAAAAGCAAATGTTACCAGACACAGCCTGGAGAAGACTTCTTCAGATTTTAGCTCCCCTCTCTTCCGGTTCCCAGATCTCTAGTCCCAGGAGGGCTGGGTATGGGAATGAACAAAATTAGAACAGTGTTTGGAAACTACTTACCTGCCAGAGCAGGAAGTCGCTTAGCCGCACTTCTCCCGAAGTCCGTATCAAGATGTCAGGGTGAGGCGAGTGGCTGGTATAGAGGCACTTATCAAGCAGAGACTCGGAGACATCACTAGCATGTGCAGGAGACAAGGAGAAGCCACACGTCTTTTAGCATTCTCAAGGTGAACTTCCATACATAAAGCTCCCCAGTCTATAGACATCCAACAAACACCTTAGCCGACACTAGCTGGTACACAGAAGGCCCTCAACAAATGTAAACTAAATTAACACATTATTTCTAAATCACCACAACTACAAGGGTATTTATTTCTACCTTCAGCTACTTATTTTTAAAGATTTATTTATTTGAAAGGCAGAGTGTCAGAGACAGAGGGAGAGACAGAGAGATATCTTCCATCTGCTGGTTCACTCCCCAAACACCCACAACAGCTGAGACTTGGCAAGACCAAAGCAAGGAGCCAGGAACTCCAGGTCTCCCACGTGGATGGCAGGACCCTAGGTATCTGGGCCATCCTCCACTGCCTCCCTGACACATTAGCAGGGAACTGAACTGGAAGCCCAGAACAGCCGAGACTTGAATCGGGCACTCTGATAAGGGATGCAGCCATCCCAAACAGTGGCTTAAACCTTAGAACTCAATGCTCGCCCCCTCTATCCTCATTTTATAAATAAGGAAATTGAGGCTTCAGAGAAACGCGCCCAAAGTTACTGAGCTGAGGTTCAAAGCCAGATTCACTCACTGGAATGTGTTGTCATTCACTTAGAACATCTTGTCTACTAGGGTGAGTGGTGCAGTGGTTAAGCGGCTTCTCCAGAAGACGGCCCTAGTCCTTGGGCTCCTGCTCCTGCATGGGAGATCCGGGCTTCAGATCGGCTCAGCTCCGGCCATTGCGGTCATTTGGGGAGTGAAGACCTCTCCCTCTCTCTCTGGCTCTACCTCTCTCTATAACTCTATTTAAATAAAATAGATCTTAAAAAAAAAAAAAAAAAAAGAGAGAGAGAGTGCCCAGTTAGAGTCCTGGCTACCCTATTTCTAATACATCTTCCTGCTGACGTACTCCCTGGCAGGCAGCACATGACAGCTCAAATACTTGGGTCCCTGCGACCCACACAGGAGATTCAAACTGAGTTCTGGAGTCCTGGCTTGCACGGTCCAGCTCTTACTGTTGTGGGCATTTGGGGAATGAATCATTTGCTAGATAATCTCTGCCTTTCAAATAAAATTAAAATAAACAGATATTTAAACATTTTTTAGGGGTAGGCACAGCAATTTAAGTTGCTGCTTAGGACACTTGCATCCCATACCCGAGGGCTGATTCAAGTTCTGGCTATATCCTTGCCACCCATGTGGCAGACTCAGATGAAATTCTGGGCTCCTGGTATTGGCCTCATCCAGCCCCAGCTGTTGGGAGCATTTGGGGTGTGAACCAGCAGATGGAAGACTAATCTCTCCTTCTCTGCCAGTTTTTCAAATAAGTAAAAATTTTTTTTTTTTTGACAGGCAGAGTGGACAGTGAGAGAGAGAGACAGAGAGAAAGGTCTTCCTTTGCCGTTGGTTCACCCTCCAATGGCCGCCGCGGCCGGCGCGCTGCAGCCGGCGCACCGCGCTGATCCGATGGCAGGAGCCAGGAGCCAGGTGCTTTTCCTGGTCTCCCATGGGGTGCAGGGCCCAAGCACCTGGGCCATCCTCCACTGCACTCCCTGGCCACAGCAGAGAGCTGGCCTGGAAGAGGGGCAACCGGGACAGAATCCGGCGCCCCGACCGGGACTAGAACCTGGTGTGCTGGCGCCGCTAGGCGGAGGATTAGCCTAGTGAGCCGCGGCGCCGGCTAAATAAGTAAAATTTTTAAAAATGGTTTTCAAGCCACTTTATTTTTTTTAATGTATATACCATGTGACTGAGCAATGTGATGAAATATTATGCAATTTAAAAAATACAGATAAATCTAAATTTACTGATTTGAAGTGGTGTCCAAGGTCAAATGTTGCATGAAAGAAGCAAGGTCAGCCGGCGCCGCGGCTCTCTAGGCTAATCCTCCACTTTGCAGCGCCGGCACACCGGGTCCTAGCCCCGATCGGGGTGCCGGATTCTGTCCCGGTTGCCCCTCTTCCAGGCCAGCCCTCTGCTGTGGCCAGGGAGTGCAGTGGAGGATGGCCCGAGTACTTGGGCCCTGCACCCCATGGGAGACCAGGAGAAGCACCTGGCTCCTGCCATCGGATCAGCGCGGTGCGCCAGCCGCAGTGCACTGGCCGCGGTGGCCATTGGAGGGTAAACCAACGGCAAAGGAAGACCTTTCTCTCTGTCTCTCTCTTTCACTGTCCACTCTGCCTGTCAAAAAAAAAAAAAAAAGCAGGTCAGAAAATATAGTATGAGAAATACACACACAGAAACCCATACTCACTCACTCACATATGTGCATATATGTACACATTAAACAAAAACCAAGTCTGAAAAGACACACATCATACTATTAACAGTGGGTTGGATAAGAAAGGAAAGACTCTTTTTACTTTTTGTACCTCTGTAATATTTTTTTTTTTTTTAATTTGAAAGGCAGAGAGAGAAAGACAGAAACAGAGACAGCAAACAGATCTTCTGTCTGCTGGCTCACTCCCCAGATGCCCACAACAGGCTAGTCTGGGGCAGGCCAAAGCCATGAACAAAGGAACTCCATCCTGGTCTCCCATGCGAGTGGCAAGAGCCCAAGTTCTTCGGCCATCATCGGCTGACGCCAGGTGCATTAGCAGGGAGCTGCACTGGAAGTGGAGCAGCTGGGACTCCAAGTACTGCTCTCATATGGACTGCTGGCATGGTTAAGTGGTGGCTTAACCTGCTGTGCAATAACAATGGCCCCTATGGACTTCTGTTATAGTTTGAATTTATTATAAAGAGCATTTTAAATCTTAAGTAAATCATACAGATCCTAAAAGTCCCACTGCATAAAGTCCACATTACTCAGGATTTTAAATAAACAGCAGAATCATCAGTTCTCCTCTGTTTGATAAGAGGTACTTGCCCAGGTACATACTCAGACAGAAGGAATTGAGGAAAACTGGCAACTGGCAAGATTCACCTGAAATAAAGCCTCCCTGATCAAAGAAAGGCAGTATCTAGAAGGCTGGTGTCTGTCGGCTCCAAGAACTCCGTCTGCCTGCCCTACCGAGTAGCCACAAGCAGAATTTACTCTCCAAGTGCTAAGAGTTGAATCTTGGGAAGAGTCCAGAAGACAAAACTTCCTGGTGGGAACAAACTTCTTGGCACATGGTCAAGAAAACAAAGTTCTGGGCTGCGTTCAAAACCAGACTACAAATGTCAGCTGTGTGCCTCTGGGCAAGTTGCTTCATGTCTCAGAAATCTTTTCCAAATTACAGAAAGAAATATATTTTCTACAGCATCACAGGAAGTAGCATTCACTTATAATTGGGCAATAGGAAGGGTCTGGCTCAGCTTTCCCGGATAATCTCCGTCTTGCCGTGGCAGCACTGTCTTCTTCCTCTAAGCTGTGTGAGACCCTATAGTCCTCATAATTTCTCTGTTCTCAGATCTCTGAAAGAGCCCATTTGTCCTGTCTACCCTATAGGTTATTATGAGGGTCAAATCAAATGAAATAATAGATTTGAGGGGTATATGTTTAGCTTCATGGTTACGACTTGTGTTAAGATCCCGCATCCCATGCCAAAGTGCCTGGGTTTGATGGCCAGCTCTGGCTCCTGACTCCAGCTTCCTGCTAGTGTAAACTGAGAGGCAGCACTAAGTAACTGGGCCTGCCACCCATGTGGGAGGCCTCATTATCATGTGCGTGTGGGGAGTGAATCTTTTTCTCTCAAATAAATGAATTTTAAAAATTGTTAAAGTGTCCGGGTTCAAATAGGTTCTGCTTCCAATTCCAGCATCCTACTGTTGCATACCTGGAAGGCAGCAGATGATGGCTCAACTCCTATCACCCATACGAGTTCCTATCATCCTTATGGGCTACCCAGATGGAATTTCTGGCTCCTGGCTTTGGCCTGGTTCAGCACCAGTTGTTGCAGCCATTTGAGGGAGTGAACCAGCAGATGGAAGATCTCTGTCTCTCCCTCTATCATTCTAGCTAGCACTGTGGCGTAGTAAGCTAAGCCTCCGCCTGCAGTGCCGGCATCCCACAAGGGTGCCAGTTCATGTCCTCTTCTGATCCAGCTCTCTGAAATGGCTTGGGAAAGCAGTGGAAGATGGCCCAAGTGCTTGGGCTCCTGCACTTGTGTGGGAGATGTGGAAGAAGCTCCTGGCTCCTGGCTTCGAATTGGCCCAGCTCCAGCTGTTGAGGCCATTTGGGGAGTGAATCAGTGGATGAAAGATCTTTGCCTCTGTCTCGCCCTCTCTCTGTCTGTAACGTCTCAAATATATAAATAAATCTTTAAAATAAATACATATATATAGGCCAGCGCCACAGCTCACTAGGCTAATCCTCCGCCTTGCGGCGCCAGCACACCGGGTTCTAGTCCTGGTCGGGGCACCAGATTCTGTCCCGGTTGCCCTCTTCCAGGCCAGCTCTCTGCTGTGGCCAGGGAGTGCAGTGGAGGATGGCCCAAGTGCTTGGGCCCTGCACCCCATGGGAGACCAGGAGAAGCACCTGGCTCCTGCCATCGGATCAGCGCGGTGTGCCGGCCACAGCGCTGGCTGCAGCGGCCATTGGAGGGTGAACCAACAGCAAAGGAAGACCTTTCTTTCTCTCTCTCTCTCTCTCTCTCTCACTGTCCACTCTGCCTGTCAAAAAATAAAATAAAATAAAAAAATACATATATATTAAAAAAAGAAAAAGAACAAGGTGAAATGGCCACCTCCAGATGCAGACCCTGAGGAAACAATTCAAAATCAGGAATTAAGTTCAAAGAATTCAGGCCAGTGCTGTGGCTCGATAGGCTAATCCTCCACCTAGCGGCGCCAGCACACCGGGTTCTAGTCCCAGTTGGGGCGCCGGATTCTGTCCCGGTTGCCCCTCTTCCAGGCCAGCTCTCTGCTGTGACCAGGGAGTGCAGTGGAGGATGGCCCAAGTACTTGGGCCCTGCACCCCATGGGAGACCAGGAGAAGCACCTGGCTCCTGCCTTTGGATAGGCCGCGGCGGCCATTG